AAGACTTCAAGAAAAGCATGGTACAAGAGTTTGAAATGGCAAACATTAGTCTGATGGCATATTTTCTTGGCTTAGAAGTAGTGCAGAAAGAAGATGGAATTTTTTTATCCCAAAGCGGTTATGCTAAAGACATCCTTGAAAGGTTCAAGATGAAAAGATGCAATATGGTATCAACTCCAGTTGACAATGGAGTGGAATTAAAGAAGATTAAAGTTGGAAATGTTGATCCAACTTGCTTTAAGAGCTTAGTAGGATGCTTAAGGTATTTGACATATACCAGACCGGATATACTCTACGGAGTCGGGCTGATTAGCAGATATATAGAGAAGCCAGACCAGTCTCATTTGAATGCAACCAAGAGAATTTTTCACTACATCAAAGGTACAGTAAATAAAGGTATGTTTTATACCTCAAGTACAAATTTCAATCTTACTGGCTACTCAGATAGTGATTGGGGTAGAGATCTGGATGAAAGAAAAAGTACAACAAGGTTTGTATTTTTTATAAGAGATACATCTTTCACGTGGTCATCCAAGAAGCAATTGATTGTCACGTTATCAAGCTGTGAAGCTGAGTATGTTGATGTCAACTCAACTGTATGTCATTTAATATGATTAAGGAATTTGCTGAAGTTTTTGGGATTTCCTTAAGAAAATCCTATAGAGATTTATATCGATAATCGATCAGTGATTGCATTGCTAAAGAACCCGGTGTATCATGAAAGAAGTGAACATATTGATACACATCATCACTTTATCCGAGAGCATATAAAGAACAAAGAAGTTGAGCTGATATCCTGCAAGACAAATGATCAAGATGTAGATATCCTGCAAGGATGTTTTAAGGGTGGTATTTACCTTCCCTTAATTATAACTAACTTATTACCTGAATCTTTCAAACTAGGGTCTAATTTGAGATTTCTAGTTCCCTCAAATTACTAGATAACGACTTAGATAAAATTTTAATTTCCCCCTCATTAATCTTTTTGTTAAAAAAAGCTCCGTAGTGGCCGCCCAGGGAAAACAAAAAAAAAAACAAACCGGCCATCTCTCTCCCTCACTAGTTTCTTCCCCGCTTAGCTCCCCTTGATTTCCCCTGATCTCCTTCCCTTTGTCTTTGATTTTCTAGCTCCTCTCACAGCCCCCATTTCCTCTCATCTCCAAGTCCTAGTTGTTACAGAGGTTGCCCCCTTTTCCCCATTTGCATTGGCAAAGCAAACTAGAGAAACCTCTGGCGGGAGGGGGAGTTTCCTTTTGGTTTCTTCTCCTTATAGCCGGCCTTTTTCTCCAGCCAAAAACCTTACCCTCTCATACACGACAGCAACCCCTCTAGGGAAATCCAATCCCAACCAACAAAAACCAGTCGCGTCCCTCAGCCTTGAAAAAAGAAAGCCATAGCCATTCCCCCATCCCCACTGTCATCTCCCAACACCAGCACCCCTTCAGCAGATAGTCCTCCTCCCAACCCAGCCCTCATTTTCCTTTGGCCTTTGGACCACAACAGCTTCTTTTCCCTCTCAGTTACAAGAGCAAGAGACGAACCGAGCACAGACCCAGCTCTCTCCTCACTCCTCTCCATCCCAGCTGTTCCCTTCTATCGACCTTCCCCCACAGCCATTTCAGATCCTCCATTCTTCCCCAGCTCCAGAAAAGGCTAGGAGACCAGCCCCCATATGGCGGCGCCCACAAAAAACTAGCTGCTCACAGTAGACGCCTGACCAAGACATTCTCCTAGCCGACCCAGCTTCAACAATGCCTGCAAACCGGCCAACGAATGGAGCCCACCATAGAAGCAGTTGATTTCCTTCACCACTACCTAGCCAGCTCGCTAAGACCGAATTCAATCCTCCAGAGCTGCCAGAGCACAGCGGCTCCCACAGACTCAGATCTATTCGCTTTCCTCCCCAATAACAGCACCCTCTTACAGCTAACCCAGTAGAAGAAAACAAAACGAAGCAGATTTCAAAAACAAACGAAATAAAAACTAAAATCAACTAGTTGTTGCGTTTTTGTTGTTGCTGTTGGTCATTGCTAGCGTAGCGAGACAAAGAAGAGGAAGAGGTTCCAATCCACTGATTTTTATCACCTTCATCAGCAGCAGCGCTTGAATTCAAGCGCTGTCAGTGATGCTCGTGCGTGGAACAACGCGCCACCACTGTTCCAGCAGCTCCAAAAGTCGGTCTGACATTGTTTTGGGTTGTTTTGGGTTGTTTTGGGTCATTTTGTAATTTCTAAATTATTTAATATAATTTTTTTTTTTTGAGTTTTATTTTATAATTTATACTTGGATGGAAAAGAAAAGAAAAGAAAAGAAAAAACAAAAAAAATATAGTAACAATGAGTGTGTGTCTGGATTTTCTTTTATTTATTTATGAATGTATGCTTTTTTTTTTAGGATAAAATAGCAAAGATTAAAAAAGAATTTAATATTTTGATTTGCTTACGGATAAATAATTATGAATTTACATGTAAGTCGTATTTCTAATATTCGATGAGAGAACATAATTTTTAAAACTTCTTTAACACATCAAAGCTGCGCAGCAGTTTACCTCAAGTAGAGTGTGTTAGGAGTGCTAATACCTTTTCTAACCATAACCAGTCCTTTATCCATGAATTTCTAATGAGACTAGTACACTTGGTTTTCCTAGTAGCCCTTAATTAAATACACGGTGGTGACTCCAACGATTTAATCAAAGCAAACAAGAAATGAAAAATCACCAGCCGATGCTGCATGGGTGATGTGCGATAGAATGACGACTCCACTAGGAACATGTATTGTTTTCAACTTTATTAGACTAAGCTTTGTGTTTTTGATGTGTTGAAATTTTTTTCTTTTTGTCTTGATTCATTTTTGTTTTATTAATGCATTGTATAGAATTCTCTTATGCATCACAAGCTTTAATTTTGAATGCACATACACAAGCTTCAGGTTAGGTGGGGGACTAACAGTTTATCTTATGACTTTTAGTTAAGGTTTAAGTTTGTGTAAACCCCAACTCTTCATTGAGTGTTTAAACTGGTGATAGTTGGTGCACATACCTTCTTAGTGCCTACTGAGCCCCCATATTGCCTTTATGACAACGATCACTAGGATCATGAGAGACCTTTTTTAGAGACCAAGTAGTAAACCTATCTTTTATCTCACATAAAAAGATTAGAACTTGCCTTTATGATATATGCTCCATATTGCTTTGCATCTAAGCAAACCCTTTTTAAAGCATCTTGAATTCAGGACTTATGGGAGATATAATAGTCATCACTCAAGAAATTTTTATTGTAGAATTTGAGCAAGAATAAAAAATCTTCTTTCATCATATAAGAGTTACGACCATATATCACCCCTTGAAGGACAAGTTCATCATTTAAATTACATGGCATACATTTATCATACACGTACTAGAATGAAAAATAGGTTCCCCAAATAAGCTTTGCTACCCCTGATTGAAAAACAATGATGGCAAATAAAGAAAGAGGTTAGAGAGAGGCTCAATGTCAAAAGAGTTGAGAGTATCAAAGGTGAAGTAGCTAGACTTAGAGTATCAAAATTGCTTGACTGCTTTTTATGATCAGCTTGTTTTAACTCGTAAGTGCACGAGTGTGCGATGTAGCAATTAACTCGGTAAGATCAAGGTCACATCCACAGAGAGCTAGATCTGGAAATTAAGCTAGGTAACAAAAAAAAACTCAAGATAAATTAAATTAACAATAACTTGGTTGGAAATAATTGATGGATTTGTTTCAAAGATAAAAAAGTGTAAATAGATTTTAAATGACAAGAAAAAGTAAGTCTTGGTCCAAATCAATTTTAATGGTGATGTATTGGTGATTGACACGATCAAAGAGTTGATGTCTTATCCCAAGTGTAGGAGTGTTAAAGTAAAATAACCCGGCAAGACCGGGGTCGAACCATAGGGAGGTGAATTATATAAATTACAAATAAAGAAAAAGATTTAAAGAGAATAATAACAGAAAAGGAGTTGAAGAAAGTTTTGGGATGTGATATTGATGTAAGGATAAAACAAAAACAAAACATATGTCAAGGTTATAGGATTCACTAATGGTATTTCAAATAAATATAATATAAACTCTTTTTATTACTCAACTAGAAACCACACACAAAGGAGGTTCTAATCGGATGATTTCTCGTTATTAGCTCATTATAAATTACTAACATGATCATATTAATTATCTTATATAAGTAATACCATACTTATAAATATCATCAAGCATTCATGTTGCTAGTTTATGTTAACAACAAATCAAGTTTCTATCATAATAACGATTTCGGCCGAAAACTATGAAAGATCAAGCATTTGATGTACCAAATATTATACAACACAAATCTAAATTAAACATTTAATAAGCAAGGTATTAAGAATTAGTAAGATAAAAAGATAAAACATGTTAATAACAATCTTTCTTGGATATAAACATTTAAAGCTCATGTTGAGTTTATATTATACCTATTCTAACACCATTAGAGAAACCTTTTCACCTTGACATAATTAACTTAGCTAAACATTAAGAAGGAGAAAAACACAAATAAACAATATAAGAACATAAACATAATATAAGCTAACTAAGTATAGGAAAGGAAATGAAAGAGCATAAACAAGAGATTACTATAGCATAAAAGAAAACTTGAACATTACAAAGATGTAGAGAGAAAGCAAGAAGATAACTTTGATCTGAAAATTAATATGACTAAATACATGGACAATGCCTCCTTTTATAGGCTAAGTTTCAGAACTATTGATTGATTGAAGAATTGGTGGGCATCCATTGATTTGGTGGCTGGTTTTTGACATTAATGGCTGCTGGTTTTTTGATATTGTGGGCTGATTTTTGATATTGTTGGCTGGCCAAAACGTCATTGCTCACATCAGAATTATAGCCAACTGAATTGTGGAATCTGTGGGCAATTGTCTCAGCTTTCCATAAAAAAAAACCAGAGCTCATTTGGACTTCTAGAACTCAAGATATGAGCCAAAAACCGAATAGTGCTTGAGCTGCAGGACAGCTTCCGACGTCTTCGTTGTTGCTAAGATTTGGGCTTGAAAACGGCAGAACTGAGTCTTTGACTTCAGGTAATTTTTTTTTTTTAGGCGGTAAAACCAGCCCATTGATTTTTTTTATATGATTTTTTTTTAGTTTTCCAATAATCAAATCTAAATTTGTTACCTTTGCTTGCTAGCTCCCCGGCAACGGCGCCAAAATTGCTTGACCGCTTTTTATGATCGGCTTGTTTTAACTCGCAAGTGCACGAGTGTGCGATGTAGCAATTAACTCGGTAAGATCGAGGTCATATCCACAGAGAGCTAGATCTGGAAATTAAGCTAAGTAACAAAAAAAAACTCAAGAGAAATTAAATTAACAATAACTTGGTTGAAAATAATTGATGGATTTGTTTTTAAAGATAAAAAAAAAATGTAAATAGATTTTAAATGACAAGAAAAGTAAGTCTTGGTCCAAATCAATTTTAATGGTGATGTATTGGTGATTTCTTCAACATATATAAGATAACTCAACCTAATATCAACGATGGTGATATTAGATCAGAAGATATTACAATGAAGATTAGAAAGATGAAGATTGATTATTGCTTAAGAATGAACAAGTACTTTCATATTAAGTAAGACATTGAATCAAGCAATCTCTATACCAAAACTAAAGTTTGTGCATAAAAATTCAAGATTATAACATTACCTAAATGATTTCTAAAATTTCTTTACAATAATAAATCATTCATGAAGAAAATAAGAAGATAAACATTAAGATTCATTCATATCCTAAAGAACTCACCTCAATCACCATTATCCTTGATTTGGATCCAAGAAAGAGTTTAGCCAACCATGATTATATATAAGAACACTTCAATAAACATGAAAGAACTTGAATCCAACTGAAAAAATAAGTTTTACAAACTAAAGAACCGAAATCTATAAAGAAGAACACAATACAATTTCAGAAAAAATTCGGACACAAATCTGACTCTAACTTTGGACAGCAATTCAACCCTCTTAGAAGCTTTTTTTCGAGATGTCTATTTAGAGACATATTTATAGAAAATTCTGTCACCTTTCCAGATCATTAAAGAACAGCTCATTTGGACACCTGAGTCAAATGTTATGGTAAAACACCGAAAGGTGTTCTGAAAAATCAAGTCAGGATAGCTTTGCAACCACTTTGGTGCATGTTTTTCTTCCTCATTTATGAGTTGTCTCCTTCTTCTTTTTGACCCAAAATAATGTAAAAATATCCCCTCCAACTTTCCATCCATGTGCTTGCCTTCTTGGATCAATGAATTACCCAAAATTAATCAATTGTTGTTGTGTAGACATGTAAGATCATGGATTGTGTTTGGGCTGATTTGAAGGTTGATTTGGGGTTGATTTAGGGCTGATTTTGGGCTGATTTTGGGCTGAATTTGAACATCAAATAAGTATACAAATGTACTTATTATTTGGGCTAAGATTGACATTGAAACTTTGAGTGTTTAATGGTTGAAGTTTGCACACAACATAAGGCAAGTTTGGGCTTGAAATAGATCATATGATATTCTTTTCTAGAATTGGAATATAATTGATTTTTGGAACAAATTTGGAGCACTTATTTCAACCAAGATTTGCTTCAATCTTCAACTAAATGTCTCTTCAATTCTTTGTTCTGAATTCCGATGTTGAATTTCCTGAATTAATTCATTTAAGCTCCAAAAACCTATCGAAACATTAAAACAAACTTCATTACTAAAAAGCACATCAATTATTATGAAAAAAACAAATAAAAAAATAAATACATATGTAAAATAAGAGACTTAATGATACTTTTGATGCACAATCAAGCATCAAATGGAAAGGGAATGTCTGCATAGTCTTCTGTGGGAACACTGTGTCGCTACACGGCGTCGGGCAACGGCTCCACTCCTTTTTTGTTTTTTTTGTTTTAAACAAAAAAAAGAAGAATAATTTATTTTTATTTGATTGGGGGAAATAAAGATTTTATTGGAGTCGCCATCTAGTAATTTGAGGGAACTAGAAATCCAAAATTAGACACTAGTCCCAGAGATTCGGGTACTGGGTTAGTTATGATTAAGAGAAGG